GGACAAAAAGGCTCTTTTTGTTGTTTGAACTGCTAAAAATTTAATGAAGACAGTATTTAACAAGGACCTTCCTGGCAAAGCCAAAATTTCACTGTTGCTGTATTCAGTTACCCATACTACTTAATGTCTAGCTATCACATGCATATAACCTCAGTTACAATAACATCTGATGTTTAACAAGTTTTAGTGCGTTTGACTTTGTGGCACCCGTGGTAGGTAAGGAGGTTATTGCCTTCAAGTTACAGATAGGGAGATCTGGTTTAGTATGACATGAGAATATGAATTAGATGAGATCTCATCTAACTTTAGCGCTTTAGAAGTCAGTTAGCCAAGTTAGTTGCCTGTGCTCTGTCTGCCATTGAGGGCGAAGACACCCCCCAGAGGCAATCCATCCCTGCCCTAAAATAAATGGGATAAACCAACCACAGAGGTGCCTCTCTGCTGTCAAGAGTTGGAGTCCCAAATGAGGCATCTCATGCCAAGCAAGATGAAGTGTCCCCTCAGGGACACGAGTGGCTCCCTATATAGCATGGGGAAGCAGAACGTGCTTTCCCACCTCCCAGGACAGACTCGTAACCATAAACCGTTCTCCCTCTCTGCTAGTTAGTCAGAACTGATGGGGTTTGGTATTCCTCTTCAGGCTGGGCTTTTCTTTAATTTTTACAAACAAGGTGGGGAGAGGTGTGCTTGGTAGTACTGGTGTGTTTAGATGCGAGGCCACAAGGAAAATCCAGTTGTACCAGGGAGCGGTGCTCGTTACTCAATAAACAGCATGGCAACAAGTGTCCTGGCATGGTGCCTTTGAGCTGTGCCTTCCCAGATGTGCTGCAGGTTAAATCTCAGAGCTGCTAGTCATTACAAGATCATACTTCACAAGAGTACAGCATTAAACCCTGGACAAATGGTATGATAGGTAACTCAGTCCTCCTTGCCCTTACCTGCAGCTTCACCTAAATTACAGTCTTATGCACAACCTGATATAAACTTTTCTGAGCCCAGGTGGAGTTGCTATATTCTGTCCCAGAGATGGCAGCAGTCTAGAGCGAGTGGAATGATTTCTATATATGCAAGAAGTAAAGCCCTTTGGGATTTTAGATGGAGATCACTATGGAAATGTAATATATCATTACTTCATGAAGTTACATAATGTTTAGGGTTGAGATTTTGCAATATCCCCATTAATGTAAATGGTTCACTGCACTTGATGCTAGCGTTCATGCAGCAGCCCAAAGCAGCATTCTTCCCACAATAAGCAGAAAGCAGAACAATGAGCAAAGGGGAGCAGCAGTGCTTGTATTTGACTTGTGGTTCTGGTTTTGCTCCATCTGGGTGCCTGCCCGCAGTGGGGAGATGACCAACTATTTGCGAGCAGTTCAGATCCCCTGCCCTTCCCACCCTCACCCAGCTGGTGGTGAAAGTAGTTTAACTGTGGGTGGATACAGACGGTTCACCATGGATGTCTGGAGCACTAAAACCAATGGAGCTGATGCCAGCTTCTGCGTGACTTTCTGTTCATATTGCAGCTTTAGTTCTGTAATTCTACATATGTTGCATTATGAATTCCTTCAAATTACTCTGTGGTGTATTTTAGGGACTCTCAGAATAACAATGGGTAGATCCACCCCTTCTGCAGAGGCATCTCCAAGGGAAGGGAAGACCTGCTAAGGTATTACACATCTGTAAGCAAAGCCTCTGCATGGCTGAGACCTTCCCACCACGCAGGTCCAGAGTTCTTCAGGGAAGAAAACTGACCCCTCATCAGTGCGCTGTGAAGTTGTTGGAAGCAGTCTTCAGTGGCAAGAGCAAGCTGCCTGGAAGCCTCCTTGTTGCTGGCCCAATTTTAACTGCTCCCCTCTGTTGTCATCCCCCGGCACCACAGCTTTAATAAGACTAGCATTGTTTTGGCAGGTGAACCCAGAGGGAGTTAGTGTAACCTTTGGCACAGAAAGCAGGAGAGAGTCTGGAGCCTGACTGCTCTTTGCCTCTGGCCTTCTCTTCCAAACTCAGAGTCTCACAAATCATTCCCAGGATGTTTCCAGCTTCCAAGAGCTATCAGCAGCGTCTGTGGGACAGGATAGATACTTGTCCTTTGGAAGAAATCCTTAGAACAAGAGCAGCAAAAGAGGTGGTCAAATAGATGTGTCTTAGATAGCCTTGGCTATCCTAGCCTGAATGGCCTGGTATCTTTTAGAGAGCGTAAAACTGTTCTTTGAGCTGACTTTGTTTAGAGACTAGGAGGATTTTTGGGGCCTGTGGTGTACCAGAGTCTGGGCACAGCTCATGAAGTTGTGGAGACTGTCCGTAACCGCTCCAGAGATGCGTCTGTGATTGAGGATTCTGGCTCCAAAGTGGAGACAGCTTGTTTTAGTAAGACAGATGGTATTACCTGGTCTGGGAACATGGTGATTCACATATAGCTGCTTCACATACAGCTCAGCCCTGTGCTTGTCAAAGGGAGGCTGGTGCTGGGAGGTTTAAGCTGATCAACTTCTCTGTTTTATGCTTTCTTGCAATTCAGATGTATTACACTGGCTTCTAGAGCCAGCTAAGTTACACTCGGTCCCAATTCTGCAGTCTAGAATAGTAGTGTGGAAAGGAGGCTTTCAGTGCTCTCCTTCCTGCCTTGGGTGTCTCCTGCTGCACCATGGAAGTCTTTTCCAGTTTGAGCCGCAATGTTTTTGTTACAGTTTGCTATTAACATGTGAAGGTTTAATTCGTTTTCTAAATCTCTAAGCATACCAGACCTTGAATACAGCATAGTGTTTCCCTGATTCCAAGTGAAAGCATTCAGAATGGGCTGTGAAGTGGATGTTTATTCTGCCTGATCTGTCATTTTGTTTTCATGCTAATACTAACCCTGTTACTACCCTGTAATCAGCTGTTATGGAAACAATACATTGTCTCTAGGGTAAGTTTAGAAAAACATTCACCCACAGTGCACCCACAGATAAATCCAGCTTTACCAACATGGTTTTTAAAGTGTTATACTCTGCTCATTGAGTATCAGCAAGATGTGCTTGCCTGGAGCCAGCTCCAGATCACTGGTTTCTCTGTGTTGTTTCTCAGGCCCTACATGTCCATTGGAACGCTTCGTGATCAAGTCATCTATCCAGACTCAGTGGATGACATGCATGAGAAAGGCTACCAAGATCAAGATCTGGAGTGCATCCTGCATATGGTTCATCTGTACCACATAGTTCAAAGAGAAGGAGGTAAATTGCATATTTTTGTAAAAAGCTTTACAAAATCCGTTCCTCACATATGTGTCTCGGTGTGACTGACCTTTACTTACCGAACTGGCAAAACTGAATCCAGACCTTTTGTGGTTGTAGGAGCTGCACAACCACATGGTTGTTGCTCCTGATGCTAAAAGAGGGAGAAGAGTGAAGTGCGTCTCTCCTCCCCGCTAAATTCACGCCCAAGCTGAACATCCTTGTTCTCTTGTAATGGCCAGTCTTCTCGTGGTATTGTGAGATCACTGACCTTCCTTCATTTTCTTAGAAAATGCGACCTGTCTTAAAACCTTGTAATGTCACTGACTGCATCGACTCAAAAGCGTATGAATGAAAAGAGAGCCAGGTCTGCTTTTCCCTCCCTGGTATTGTGGGGTCAGCAGGACTATGTGCTGTGAGAAGGAGTGTCTGATACCACACCACTGGGGTGAACAAGTTAAAAATAACCAAACGACACTGACTGGCAGTAGAGTGTTAGCATCTACCACTTGCTGTTTAAGTTGCCATGTGTTCTCAGCATTGTTTGTCTTAAGAGTAGGGGACAGTGTAAATACACTGGCACAGTAAATGTCAGGATGCTAAAGGCTTCCCTTGTCTAAGGAACTGGAGCATTTTATGGCTTTTTTTCCCAAGCATAGCAATAAATTTCATCCCTTTGTTCCCACCAGCCACTAATCTCTAGTTTGACTTTCCTCCCCATCATTATGCTTTTAAAATAGACATAGGACAAAGTTGGTAACATTTAGATAGAAGAAGGAGTATCTTCAAACTGCTCTAAGAAGCTGGCATCAGGAGTGCTGGATGTACCCTGCCTCCCTCTGCCAGCTGTCAGTGGTCCTTTTAGAGAGGGCACTTTGGGTGCATTGCCTCATGTGTGTTCCTGATGTCTCTCAGGATCGTTCTAACAATAGGGAGTACTGCTTCAACCACTGGAATCCCAAGGCAACGTTTAAATTCCCGTTCCTGGATGGCAGCCTGTTGCTCTGTTCAAAAGGCAGAAGGTGTATTTTATTTTTGAAGTATGCATGGACACTCATCTGGTGTCTTCTCTGCACGTTTTAGAGTGGGGAGTAGTAATCATTTACAGCAGCAATTCTATACCTACAGATACTTCTCCACCTCATGAGTCTGCTGATAGACTGTTATCTTTCCATGGGTTAGTGCTTCTTTGTTAAGAATGTAATAATGACTGTTGGCCCTCAAGTTGCAATAGCGAATAAGAATGTGCCATCATTCTGATTCATGTTATTATTCAGATCTGATACTATGACACGAGGACTGAAAAAGTGGGCAGAGAGCTAAACTCAGTGGCCAGAACAGTTGCGGAGAAGGCCTCCACTCCCTACACTGACATTATAATTATTCCCGTTAATAGTCCTGAGTCACTTCACTAGATAAAGTGCCCAAATTGCAGAAGAACAAGCAGATATGTTGGAATCGGGAGCTGGAAAAGGAGAAGCAGTTGTCAGTGGCAAGAAGCCACTGTGGAGTGTGCATTCATAGCCTGCTGGCACTTGTACTGAACAACACATGACCCTCAGCGGCCAAAACCATACCCCCAGCAGTCTCTGAATGCACATGTCGTGTTTTATAACCCTGCAGCTGGAGCATGTGACTGGTGATGGGGCAGTTGCTCCGCTCCACGTACAAGATGCCGTTGGCTAGGGTCAGTGGTCTGTATTGCCAAACTGAGAACCCAGGTTTGGATCAGTCTCACTCTACTCTCTGTGCCAAAGAAAGTATTTATTGCTGACCCCATTCTTGCTCTTCTGCCTGTCTGACTGTGCGTGTGAGACACACAGAGTCTATTAAAATGTCTAGAGGACACTGTTAATGTTCAGTTGTGTTATATTGAAACTCCACTCGGGATGAGGGCACACTGTGCAAAAGTCTGCACAAACAAATGTTAAAAAAAAGTGTCTTGGTACTTTGTGATCTGAAATGACAGAAGTGGGCAAAGCCGGAAAACAGGGAGAGATTACCGCATACCAGGAAGTTTTTAGGACCATAATATACTTACTTGTTCCCTTTTCTCCTTGGACATTTGCAGGAGACAAGTGTCAAGGTAGGAGCAGAGCAGAGAGGAAATCTGTGACATATGATTTGACACGTTACATGGATTTCATATGCTTACGTATTCTTTAGAGTTCCCTGGTCTGGAACAAAGACTCATATTCTGGTTTAATTTTTGAACCAGCAAGCCAGAGAAATACATGTTGAAAGTGATCAATTGAAATTTTAGTTTATACATAGCTGAATTATATTTTTAATTCCAATTTCTATTTTATTTTTTGCTTCAAATCAGATTTTTAAACTAAAATTATTAAAAATGGAACTTTTTTCATTGCAAAATAATGAAAAATCACATATAAAGCTTGTAGAACAAGGGATTTACCCCAAACCATCTTTTTCCTTTTTGCAAACTGCTTTGATGGTTGACAAACACTGGCATTTTCCAATAGAAAAATTGGAAAACCTGCTGAAAACTTGCTGAAAAATTTCCAGCAAGTTTATATATATATATTAAAAATATACACATTTTGAAAGTGTGCTACGTCTGAAAAAAAATATAGAATCATAGAATGGTTTGGGTTGGAAGGAACCTTAAAGATCATCTAGTTCCATCCCCCCTGCCATGGACAGGGACACCTTCCACTAGAACAGGTTGAATCAGTAAAACTACTTTTAGTTACTCAGATTCTTGTGGATATATGGGATATGTCCATGCTATTTTGAACTGTTTCTGTAAACTGTTCTAAGAACGGAGCTAACTATCTGTCAGTCATTAAGTTATAGAAATCTAATATAATTCTTCAATATTTTTTTCTGTAGATCCTCTTCTCTGTCAGAGCCTTACCCCTGTCTCTTCCCCTTTCACCTATCCCCTGCAGTATTAAGCCTCTACCAGACAGCAGGGTCCTTAGGGCATGACCCTGTTGTGCTTTAATTGACCACAAATGTCATGCGTGTATAATATGGTGCTTTGCAGTTTTGTGTTCTGCTCCCCATGGGCAGTTATGAAAAAGCCAGATGGAGCCAGAAGTGCGCAACTCTGACTCAATTTATTTGTCCTGGCATAACTTTATTGTCTTTAGCTAAATTGCTTCCACATTGCATCAGTACAAGGGTCATCAGATTCCGAGTGTAAAGTATCCAACAGGAGCCTGACATTGTTCTTGTTGCTGCCAATGGCAGAAATGCGTCTCTTTTTCTAGCAATAATGTTTGACCCAGTTAGAAGTAAATAGAATAGTTACAAGAATAAGTAGCCCAGTTTGGCATTTAGCTTCTCTGTTACCCTCATGAAAGTTTTTTCAGTTGGTAGCAACAGAATACACCAAAACCACCAAAATAACAAACTCCCCTGCCCCACTCCTGATGTCCCTGAGCCCAAGCCCTAGAAGAACCCAGTGCAATTGCTGTTGACAGTAGCACCCTTTGCTGCTAGAGACATAATTTCCTTTTTCTCACCTGCTGGATATTAAGGGGATGCCATTTTGTTACTTTATATTATCAATGAGGTCCCCCCATCAACACCTGCAAAGTTGCTAGCTCTACCAGAACAGTAACTTCACGCAAAATGAGGGTAGCAAAGGTTGTATTTAGCACGGACGGTGAAAAGGCATGTCCAAAAGTTGCAGGTAATAGCGTGGAGCTGTCCAGTAGATACACATAAAGTGGTTCCTTTTTGACCTGCTTTGAAAACCTGTGTATATTTAGGAAGTGTCAATCGTGATGCAGCCTTAGGCTGCTGATAGACTGTCACATGAGAGGAGCCATGAGTACGTGTAGCAGCACGCTGAATGCGTGACTGGGCCTGTCAGGTTGGGGCTGATGACATTACTGAACAAGTTCAACCTGTTTATGGTTTCTCAGCACCCCAGATTATAATTATTCCTCATTATTTTGCACATTTGTCATATCTTTGGGTCTTGTCCAGGGAACCTTTGTGCTAGGCCATGTATAAACATACAGACAAGCGCATTTACTCTCTCTGAGATTTTTTCATCTGATCATTTTAGCCCTGGATTTGCTTTTGTTGCTGGTAACAGCGGGAACTCTGGAGTGCTCTGCCAGCTTTTCCAGAGACACAAATCCCTGCAGTGTCATGCTGAGCTGGGGCTCATGCAGTTGATGGTCTCTTTGTTCCTTCCTCAGCTGAGGATTGTCTTTGCATATTCATCCTGCACAGCACCCCAGCTCTCTTCCGTTTTGACAACTGCCTGGGGACATACGCTGTGAGAGAGGCCTCCATGTTCAAAAACTCACCAGGGGTGGACTCTCTGGCTGTAGTTTGCTGTGGTCGCCTTTCTTCTGTCACCGTAACACTCCAGTCCATGTCTGATGAGGTGCATTGGAAGGTAGATCTGGAAAAGCATATCTTTTTGTGGCAGCTGAATGCTCTGTCTTGCATGTAACTGTGAGGATTCATAAGGATGAAGGATGCACAGCGCTACAAACCCCAGCTGTAACCCTTTTTTTTGTTGTCAAATTTATCTTGCTTTTTCCTTCAGATAATTGAGCTAAAAGGAATTGTAAAAGAAGCCATGCAAGAAAATGAAATGCTGCTGTCATGAGGCAGTTGCTAGTTTCTGCTGACAGCTGTGTGTGCTTCTACTGCTGTTACTCTGCCCCAGCACGTTACACATGCTCTTTGTCTTACGGGTTGCAAAAGTGTTTCTGTGACATCCAGCATTCATCACATCTACATTGTAGTATGTGCAATCAAAGGCTACGTGTAACAAGAAGCTGGGCGAGGAATTTGGGCCCTGAAACCCAGGATTATCTTTGTACCTACTGAGAGATTTGTGCTGTGTTCATGGACAAGCCGTTTAATTTCTTCATTTATAAAGTGGATGTAGCTAGGGGTGACGTACGCCACTGACTTGGCTGATATTTTCAGAACACTAAGGTCCTTCACTGACCTGCGCCATGTCAGCAGGACAAAAAGAGAAACAAGTAGGTGCGTTGTTGTTAATACATGGTAGGGAGTCAGTTTATTGTGAGTTACAGTGCCTGAGTGTTCAGAGGAAATTGTTCAGACATTAGCAAATAATTTTTAAAAGGGATAACATTAAAATGGATCCTTCCTTATCTGGTGTTTGAGACATTCCAAGTGGCAAATAGGAAAGTTCAGGGAGGGAGCTAGGTAGGAAGAGACAAGATGCACTTCTAATATTCAGTTAGACTGTAAGTTGAAGTGACCACAGAGATGACCGTTGTATCCTCGTAGAGGCCGAATCTTACACCTTTAGAGGAAATAATAGAATGATTTTGTTGACAAGATGATGCTTTTTCTTGAACTTCATTCCCTTTTTGTCCTTTAATAAGTCTTTGTAAACCAGCGATCTGAAAGAAACTGAATGAACGCAGGCACTGCTTCCCCAGGCACATGTGCACACACACACTGCCACCCACACCCTAGCTCGGATCCAGATCCCTGGAACTCGTCTATATTCTCATCTTAAAAATAACAGAATATAAGCAGCAGTTTGAACGTTGTCTTCAGAAGCATAGTTGTTTCTATGGCGTTCATGAAGGACCATTCCCATCCCTTGCCCCTAGAACCCTTTGCCAAAAAGGAGCACTCCAGGTGTTTTACAGTCTTTTTTTTTTTTTTGGAAGCTGAAGGTGTCAGTGGAGCAGGACTGGAGCTCTCTGTGTGGTCCCAGCACCAGGATTGCTCGTCAGCAGCAACCTCTGTGTATCTGTTCACTTTACCAGAGTTGTCCAAATAATGATTCAGTTAATCATTACACAACTCCATCTTTGCTAGGAGCCCGCTGATAGAAAGCACTGTCTGTGCCCCCCGGGGGGATGCCCACTGGGATCCTTGAACAAGAATGGAAGGAAACTAAGGAAAAACGATAGGATCTCTAAAGGTGGTGTATTTCTGGTGTGTGCATGCCTGGTTTTTAAATCTAACTATATACACATATATTAAAAAATCATGGCATTATATTTTATGATTTTATGTAGAGAAAATTCTTGGAATTTGGTCTCTAGATTTATCAATTCCTGTTTTCAGTCACACAGCCTCTCACCAGGTGTTTCACTGAGGTTTTATTCAGATCTACCAAGCCCTGGTGTAGCACCAAGCACAGGCAGAGGACTCCCCAGCCTCCTGCACCTTCACAAGCCCCACGAGTCTCACCTTTGGTCAGGTATCAGAAATGACACAGCCCACCCTCCTTGCTTGACCTTGTTTATAGTCTTTTCTGACAAATATTTATTTTCAGTTGGGCAGTGGCAGAAAAGGGGGGTTTGGTTATGTGGTTAATTTTTCAGTTACAGTGCTTCTGGGCTGATTTGGAAAAATGTTCTCTTCCTCGCTCGGCCCCACTCCAGCTGCCTGTCTCATGAATAGGTGATCTATTGAGAGAAATGTCTTATCTGATTTTCTCTAGATCACTCTCCCTTTTCAAAACTCATCTATTTTGCTGCTCTATCCACCTGGACTGTTTGATTAAAAATTTATTTTCAATACAGTAATTTGGTATTTGAAGTTTTTCATTAGTGGGAATGAATCATGCCAGAGTACTTATGGAAACACTAGTCCACCGTGAGATCGCAGATAAAATGCATCACACTCCTGTTGAATGTATTGGAAAGTGATAGTGAAGAAAATCAGTTAGAGACCATGCAGGAAATTAAATGGTACCCACATTTGTAACAGTTGTGGGTCATTTCTGAATACAAGGTAGCAGGAAGTTTGTATAGAAAATCCTCCTGTTTGTATGCAGTCTTGTATGTTAGCTGCTTGTCCGTGCACACAGAATACAGCCCTGTGTTTGCTGACTGCTATTCTTTGCCTACAGTAGTGAGTGGAGTCTGGCACTGCTCTTTATGTTTTCTACACTTCAGTTCTTTTCATTTTTTTTTTTAATTTTCACTCACACCTTTCAAGAAGGAGTATCAAATTGTTCTATAAAACAAACATGACGGAATAAAATGATCAGTTATACACAGGGAAAAGATGTTTTCTCAAAGAGATGGTAAAGTTTTTTGACAATACTTACATGACCAAGAAGGTTAAATTCCATGTTCAAATTGACATATTTGGGACATTTTTCAAATTGAGTGCCAGTGGAAAGGCACTGAGGTATTTCAGAAGATGTTATCCAGAACCCTGGGCTGTCTCTTCTGCAATGAAAATGCTCTTCGTGACTTCGGTTGCAGATTGAAGAGATGTTGCAAGTGAAGCTGCATTTCCTTCATAAATTTACATTGTCCTGACTGATGTGTTTTGTTTGTATTTTTTTAAAAGGCTGGGATGCCATCATGGATTGGAAAGATGTCTTATCAGGAGGAGAAAAACAAAGGATGGGCATGGCTCGAATGTTTTACCATAAGTAAGCATTTTGATTTGTTCTTTAAGTAGCATCTGAAAATGGGGAAGAATTTTGCCGCAATAGTTTGAGCAGTAGTAGGCTGTAATCTCCATGCAATATGCAATACTGCTAGACAGTCACATAGGGCTGCAGACCTTGTCCTTTATTCATACAAGCTCTGCTTTTAGTTCGGGCAATGTGTCTTACTTAAGCTTTGCTTTTGGCAATGTAACATTACGTTTTCCAGATGTTCCTTTCTTTAACATCTGAGGCACAAACATCTTCCCTGAATCTGTCCTACAGATATTGCAGAAGTCTGATGGACTGTGGCAGAGGCTGTGGGACTCAGAAAGTTTTTGGTTTTGGAGACTGCAAGCATGCAAAGGCAACCCAGTCCATATGTAGTAGGGGATAGAAAGTTTCTGAGTTGGCGGTAGCTACTGCATGACTTGATGACAGGACAGAATAATACTAGGTCAAACTAGAACATAGAAGTTAGATCACTGTACTCAGATGGACCAGGAAAAACAAAACATTTTTCCTGGAAGCTGGCTCTGCACCCAAATAATGCATGGAAACTTTATGTTGCTAGCCAGCTTCCAGCTGTAGATGAGAGGCAGCTGTCTGGCAAAAATAGCTCTCTGCTTTTTGTTGTTCTTTCAATTAAACATTGTGGATAGGAATACTGTCTAAAACATAGAAGAATAATGTTCTTTGTCTGCTTTTGAAAGGCCGAAATATGCATTGCTGGATGAATGCACGAGTGCTGTAAGCATTGATGTTGAAGGAAAGATATTCCAAGCTGCAAAAGCTGCTGGGATATCGCTGCTTTCTATAACACACAGACCTTCTCTTTGGTAAGTATGTTCAAGGATTTATCATGGTCCTTACTTTTAGCTTTCTGACAGGCAGTGGATTGACTTTTATTCTTCATACTAGGGTGGTTGTTTTGTCAATATCTACTGCACTTTCTGAGATAACTCGTTTAAAATAATAGTGGTGTAAATGCGTTTAGCATTTATTTCTCTTCATTCTTACACACACGTATTTATTCTTCCCTCTTATTTTTTTAAATGTGTTTCAGTTATTAACTATTAATAGCAACATGCAGCTGTCTAGAGAGGCAATTAATTAGTCCACCACACCACAGCCACAACAGATATCACCAGATTATTCTGTAAAGGTGACAAGATACATGAGCTGCCCTGGGGAAGTTTACCAGTGCAGGGAGAAGACAGGAAACATGGCAAGTGGTTAAACTACTCTTTGTTCTTCCATAGGAATAGTAAATCTGGTGGTTTAACTTCAGTTGTGTTCTCTATCTGCAGGGTTCGTGAGCTTTCAAAATTTGATTGTCTATTAAAAAAAGAAATGTTGGAATTCTGAGAAACATCATTCTAGTGAGGGAGTACTAAGTATGGAAGAGTCCCTCAAAGGAAATAAGTGTAGTTACTGAATACATAAAACAACCAAATACTTTAAAGGGTGAAAACAGATCAAGAAGGTGTACGCTAACATTAGCAGAGACGCCTTGATCTCCACTGTCCAATTGTTTGCTTTTTTAAACTGGTGACAAAAAATACGTTACCAGTCTGTTGCCTCAAGGGAAAGAAGTTGTATCAATGTCCGCTTCTCTGAAAAAAAATGGTTTCCCCAGCATTCCTCCTTCATCTGTGTAGATGGTGACAGTGGAAATGTCTTTTGTTGGATCAGGACCTAAATGTTAAGAAAAAAATGGGTATTCTGATAGGAAAAAATGTCATGTAGACATTTGTTTTTAGAATAATGTAAATTACACTTAAAAAGAAAAGTATTTTCTTGTTTAAAGTTTGGCATTATTTTAAAACCGCTGCTCAAGAAAGCAGGTATTAGAGAACATCTCAGCTGTACATAATAATGATGCAGAGGGAAGTTACGCAAAAGAACTTGTGAGAAAGGTCTTTCTAGTTTAGTTCCCTACTGACATTTCTTGTTTCCTGGTACTAGTGCTATTCAGGAAGGTTTGGGATTGTTCTTGTAACCTCCACGGTATTACTGAGATTGTCAGAAATCTGGTGATTTGTTGGGTTCTGGAAAAGTAAACAGAAGTGCTGAGTATTTAGAAATAAGCATCAAAAGCTTTTAACTTCAGTGTGCTTCCACAGGGACCGCACTGCATAGACAACTGGGTTCACATGGTGGTTTCTTCTTCTTAAGATTATACCAGGAAATATTTGCTCTTTTGATCAAAATATCGGCTGGTTTTCTAGACCGCAAACATTGGACATCTCAGTCAGCTAGCTTAGCTTCCTGATATTTTTTTTTTTGGTGGGGGAAAAATAGAAGGATAGGTTAAATGTTTGCTGTCACAAAGAATAATATGCAAGAAGTGGTAAATAGAAGCCTGGAGTTGAATCTCTTTTGAGTCCCGTGTCATAAGCTATTGAGTTTATTAAACTGTCACATTCCCTGGATGGGATTTATAATCACTGTTTTATGATGCATCTCATCTTTTGTAATTTATAGTGATAAATCACATTGTCATACCAGCAGCTCTGAGGGAACTCTCTGCTCTTCCTCTTGCACCTCCTGATAAATGTCTTGTCAGGTCTTGACAAACTCCACATGTACACCTTTGAATATTTTCAGTGCACACACCCTGATACTCACCAAAAGATCTGTGACTCCCACACAGACTTTTTTACTTTGGCCCCTTGCAAACTGAACCATGTTTTAAGACTGGAGGTTTCTTTAGCCAGCCTTATAAGATGCAGAGGAACAATCTGAGGTGTCATTTGGACAGACTAGATTTTTATCAGTAGCATCAGGTGCACCGTGCCTGCCTGAATGTATTTTCTCCTAAGGAGGTAAAACGTCTCTCAGAAAGCGAGGTGAGAGAAGGGAGCCTTGTCTGCTGCTGCTGTTCAGGCTCCTGGAGAAAAAGGAGCCTGGTGGCGTTGCAGTGAAGGGAACTAGCCACAGACAATGTTTGTAAGAGGGAGGCTGCCACCTTGACCAGGGACAGCAGATGATGAGGGGACCCTCCACAGCCTTGCTGCTGCCTGCTCTTGCCAGCATCGCTGCAGGTGAGGGCCTTGGCGAGCCCGGCTGTGCAGGCTGCTCGAGGCAGTGACTGCCCCAGCTGGGGAGCCCACGCTGGTGCTGATAGCTTACAGCTGGCACCTCGCTGCTGGACATCAGTACATGGCCTAGGGATGGCCTGGTGACAGGCTTCGAAATGCCCCAGTCTCTTATGAAACAGTGTCCTGGGATTATGAGTCCCTGCAAAAAGTCTTACCTAGTGATCCAAAACTGGACAACTCTCAACCTCCTGAGAGGCGCCATTGAAAAGAGACACAGACATCCAAATTTGCATGCAAAAATGAACCATCTGTTCCCTGAGCCATTACTAATGTTTTAATTTCTACTGCAGGAAGTACCACACTCACTTGCTGCAGTTCGACGGACAAGGCGGCTGGCGTTTCGAGCAATTGGACACTGCTATCCGTTTATCACTGAGTGAGGAAAAACAGAGACTGGAATCCCAACTTGCAGGAATTCCTAAAATGCAGCAGAGACTGAATGAACTGTGTAAAATCTTGGGAGAAGACTCAGTGCTTAAAACAATGGACAAAGAGGAATAAATAATTTATGGTTTATGTTTTTAAAAGTATTTTTTTAGTTAAAAGCATTACAAATTCAGCCATTATCCTTTGCATGCATTGTGATAGAGGCTTAGAGCATAGAGTACCACAGCCAGCAGAAAAGAATGCTCTGAATGCAATGTAAGACTTCAGCATTTTAGTATTAAAGAAGAAAGTGGTTGAACTGTGAAAAGAAAATAAGCAAGTGCACAGAGTATAAGATTAGTTATTGCAGCTTATGTTAATTCCTAGTGAAAGCCCGATACACTGCAAAAAACTACCAACACACTTAGGATTTGTGGGTGAATTTTTGCGTGAGACTTGGCCTGCAGAATGTGCTCTTGTACCAAGTCACTGTGTGCATATGATATGCCTGCTACGCAGAGCAGACCTGGCATGAAACTCAGGCATGGAGCACGGCAGAGGCAGCACCTGGGTGAGTATGCAGATGCATGCAAAAATCTCATTTGGGTATAAGAAACATTTTTTCAGCCCATGTGAAACCGAACTCCTGTTCTACTACTGAACCACATACGCACCTTTACCTGCATTTCCATAGGAAGTAACGCCAATAGACTGACCAGAAGACAACTGTCTGAGCAACCCACTGCCCTCATGACAGAGAAGCAGAGATAGGGCTAAATACGTCATGCACTTGTGCTGTACTTTATGCCACAATGCGTAGCTGCAGAGGCTCTTTGCCCTTCATGATACATCAGTTCCTTTGGGGGATTATTTACTTCCCGTATTTAGTAACCTCTGGTGGAGGGGATGGAGCACTGGGCCTCACATCAAGGTTTTCACTTGACTAAGTCATTCGTCTGCTCCATGGGTCTGATCCAGCTGGTGTCCATCGCTGACCCAGTTCCTCCCTTGGTAAAGTCACAACATAGACACTTGTTTGTTCTTCCGGGAGATGCTTTGTGATGGGAAGGCACTGTAGGACAGGAAAAGGTCGGTTTCTAACAATACACTGAATTCTCAGCAATGGCTGTCCTGCCAATTAAAATGCTCAGCACTTACAAAGGTCTGTGAAAAGTTAGAGCATTTTGTAACCACTAATTAATATGCCTGCCATATTTTGGTAGAGTGGCTGAACACTGCCCTCCCCATGAGCAAATCACCAGTTAACAGCTTTGCTTTCAGATGCACTCACTGATTGTCCCGTCTGCATTTCAGTTCAGTAGGAACCTGGTCCCAGTCAGTCAGAAGGTGCTTTAAACAGAAACCCCTAAGACAGTGCTGGCCTGAGTGCCTTTCTGGAAGCAAACCTCAATGAATTAGAAATAAAGGTGTGAATGGGTTTAAGAGCTCCTGATCTGCTCTCTCTGACTGCAGGCTCATGGCAAATGGGCAGCTCAGGAGTGAAGCTCAGGAGGGGTAAGAGCCTTTGCAGATGGGTAAATGACCCTTAGCCGAGATGTAGCGATCCTGAAGTTTGTTGGTTCTTTTTGTCCTAGAAGGAGCATGGTTCCTTAGAGGATTTCTGTCTGGTGTGCTTAGTCTGAGAGGGGGCAATGCATAAGCTGTTAAGAACTGTTAAGAAAGGAGAAATATTTTGGGGGTATTTGCTGAGCTGGGAATATTTGAGCACCCTGAAGTTAATCTAAACTCTTTCCTTTTTTCTGATTGCTTCAAGAACAAGGGGAAGGTGAATTAACTTCATCTGCCAAATCCCAGTCCAGTGCACTAACCATTGGCCCATCTTCCTTCTCACTGTGCGCTTGTCTTGCTGCTTGGTATGGCACTTGCACCAGAAAATGGAATAAATCTGCTCCCTGTCCTGCTCCTCCAGAGTCTGTGGCTTGAATGTAACCCTGTAAGTTGTCCTGGTGACAACGGTTTGGTCCTTTCATTAGTTTTCTCTGTAGAGTCCCCTGGGACATCTCACTGACACGGAAAGGAATGCTTTTGGGAACCTTTGAAAGGGATGAGAAATTAAGGTTCAAGATAATAAGGTGTTGTGTTGTAAAGTGCAGAGTGGAGGTCACTGCTGTGGAGGGTGACATGTGCATGCATTTTAATTTGCAAGTGTCTCTGCTTGTCCCTCTCCCTGAAGGCTAGCTTTCCTCCTTCTGATCTTCAAAGAAAAAATCAGAACTGCTAAGGAAAAAAAGTCAGCCAAGAATCTGTTCTCAGTGAGCATAAATGAGATGACTAATGATTTTAAAGGCTTGCACATTTCTGAGTTATGTTTCTCTAAGGTGGTGTTGAATCAGGCACGCACCATATGCGTGCCCTTGTCCCGGCTGCAGCGTGTCCTCCTGCTAGTGCAAAGCAGCCACAAAACCGCCTTTCCACAAGCCTCTCCCAAGGCAGGAGCTGAGGTGGAGGAAGGGACATTAGTGTTCCCCACCCCTCTGTTAAGCACTTTACTGTGTGGCTGGGAGCTAAACAGGGTTGTCCAGTCCCTGAATGAGGAGGACACTGAAAAGTGCTGAACAGTTGGCCCAATTCAGCACAGCCCCAGGTACGGCCCTGAACACTCCCAGCTTCCCACCAAAGCTCTGCTGTGGCACTTGACTTGTTGGGAGCCATTACAGGCGAGTGGAGCTTGCAGAGATCGAAGCTGGCCGTCCCTCACAGCACAGCAGAAACACATCTTCTGAGGAAACTGTTGAGAAGAAAAAATTTTATTTGCTGTTTTTTTAAATGCAGTTATGCATAAACCATACAAAAGATATGTACGTTACTGATGAAATTTTACTGAAAACTTAAATTGCATCGAGTTCGATGTAACAGTGTTTTTCCTTGAAGTTTGATATGTATTTCTTGGATCCAGTTATAGACTTAACCATTCCCATTCAGTAATATAGCGTTAAATATCCTAGCATCTCACTCAGCTATTGACATTCTTGTAGGCATGACAAGAACGTTAAGAGACTGGTATGAGAAGAAACTCTTCTCTAAATAGGAACTTTCTGAGTAATACTGAGCCAGTTTTAGAAGGATTTTCTGTACTGGTGGCTCTTTATTTTTAAAGTTTGGTCTTGTGTCTGTAAGAGAAGCTGCCCTGGAGATTTTCTCTGCAAACTTTCTGAGTTGTTCCAAGGGCTAATTGAGACGGGAGTCTCCGGTTCTATTTCTGGAGAGTTTTACCTCTGGTGTAATGCAGGGCATAAGCCAGCTCACTTTGCCTTGCTTTGGACCCAGATGGGAAAGCAAGAGCAGGGGTGCATGCTCCCTGCTCAGGGAACAGCTCAGGGAGACACTGTTCTGGAGCCGAGGCACGGAGAGTGCTTGGCCCTTGCTGTGCAAGAGGGTAAGAGCAGGGCAGGATGCCTTGATGGAATCCTTTTTCATGGTGCAGTGAGAGCTGCTCATCAATGTTCATTCTCTTCTGGCGTTCAGGAGCTGTGACTCCCCAGGAGGCCAAGAAAGTGATTTTTTGGCCATCCTTCTGCTTGTCACATCTAGCTGGAGCTAGGCAGATCCAGCTCATCGTGTCATGGCATCTGTGCATTCAGGGCTGCATACTGCGACACGCTCTGTGCACCGAGCCAGCCTCCTGTGAGCATCCTCTCAGCCCCCAGGACTCGGTGCAGACTGGTCTTGCCTGGGTCTGCATCCTAGAGGAGTACAGGTGCTGAGCAAAATTCATACCAGTCTCAGGCACGGAGTAACTGTACAATAAAAATACCAGTTATCCACATCAGTTTAGTCAGAAAATGCTGGGATTTTTTGCAAGAATCTTCAGAATGGGACAACGCAATTTTTTGGTCATGGGATTTCAGTATTTTAACCTAGGAGGAGGCTGTTTTTCACTTAGTTTTGGGACAAGGCTCATTCCCGTTTTAGACTTGGAAGCCCTCTTTCTGCAGGGGTAGAAAACCCCACGTATCTTTTAAAAGAGTTTTTTGTTGAGATTTCTATTTTAGTGAGGAATGAAGGACTAGGTATTCAATAGGATATTTTAGGGAAAATTGCCATAAAAATTATATCCTAAAGCGAATCAGTCCCCTCAACATGTCTGAATGATGATGGTGCATGTCAAAGTTGAGTTTATGAGCCTATGGTCAGAGATTTCAATCGTACAGAGAATGAAATCCCCCTACTGAGCTGTTCATGAAGCTTAAGAGAACTGAACTGCTAATTGAATGTGTCTTTGTTTTGTTTATGTTTGATATTAATGCCTTTTAAGAGCAGACAATTTATAAAGCAATAAATTATGCTTTACAATTGTAATTTATTCCAACCTCAAATAAAACATGTTGCATTTACTTAGAGTTTACAGTGTTCCTTATGAGTCATTCACAAAGCAGTCAGGACCTGCCTGCATGTGCTCTGGGGGCCCCTTCCCATCCCTCCTTTCTGTGGTGGGGTAGGAAAGCTTGGGGTGGGGGTGGGTGTTTGCAAGGTAAAGCGTTTCATTCCTAGATCAGGCTGGCGTCAAAGGCTGCTGTGAGGAGTCTCATGTCTCACACCATTCTACTTCAGCGTGGACCTGATTCATAATAAAAAGGTGGCAAGAACTGCCACTGCTTGCTGGGGAGTTCTGCAGGGAGGCTGGGCACCAAGCAGTATGCTAGAGGATGGTGTCAGGAGCGCAACACCAGGTGGCCTCAGGAGCATCGCTCCCAAAGGTTGTTATATGGTCTCTGTGAGATAAAGTTATGCGTAATGCATCAATGTCACAAATACTACAAGGAAGTGCCTATGTTGGCCTAGAATAGCAGAGAATATTTTTTTTTTTTTTCTTAGGGATTAAGATTCACAAATACAGTTTCTTTAGCCCTGCAGACTATCGGGAGTACGAGGACCCTAAAGACACCAGTTCACTCCTTAGCACCCAGAGCCGGCTTGTGTCTGGGCACATCCCGGCCGCGTGGCTGGGGATGGTGAGGTACTGTGTGGTGGTACACGCCGGGTTATGCAGCTGAGCAGCCCATGGTGATGGTGGTCACTTGAGAACTAGATCCTCATGAGTGACTGAAGGCCTGTCCCCCCATGCCTCCTTTCCAGCTACTGCACCCACTCGGAGAGCACCGACAGAGAGCAAAGCCCAGGGTA